GATCAAGGACAAGACAGTAGTAGGCGGAGTCGGGGTTTAGGCGAGCCATGTGGAGGAATTGGTGCGGGGTGACAAAGCCTTGGGAGGTCRGATATGGGAGATAGGGGATGTCAATGGTTGTGTCGGGGCGGTTGGTGAGGCGAAGGAAGTTGGGGTGGAATGTGTATGGCATGTAGCAGTCCAGCCACGGGGTTCCTAAGACGATGTCGCACATCAAGTGCATGACATCAAACGAGAGCTGACTGCGGAGGGTTCCGACGGTCATGATGGTCTGGGGAACCGTGCGGTCTACTACGACGGCGGTGTCTTTGTCCCCTAGGCGAATCGTGATCGGGGAGTCATAACCGGTAGAGGTAAGACCGGCTTTGTGGACACGCGTCGGTGATGAAGTTACCGGTGGCTCCAATGTCGAGGAGGGCCCGGAACTTAGTTGTAGACGCACCAAGGGTGGCAGCGATGAATTTGAGGTGGAAACGAGACGAGTTGCCAGTGGAGATGATGGTGTTGAGGCGGCGTTGTTCGTTGCCTGAGCGGACAAGTCGATCGTGTCGGGCTTGTTCCTCAGCAACATCGGAGAAGGTGATAGTGGATGCATTTGGAGGAAGGGTAGAGGAGCATGAGGCAGTGGGAGGYGTTTGCGACGCCTGGGAATCGTCCGGTGGAGGGGGCGTCGCCGGAGAGGGGGAAGGCAAACGAATTGTCGATGTCAGATGGGCCATCGGTGGGACGAAGGATGTCACCGATGGGTAGGCCGACAAATGCAATGTTGATGTCGGGTCAGTGTCCTGGGGACTGTGTTCATGATGAAGAGGGGCCCGCGCTTGCCGAGGGCGATGATGCGGAGGTTTTGCGGGTCGCGTGGAGGCGGACTGGCGGGTGAATCGTGCGACGTTGGGGCAGTTGGTTTGTTGGTGCCCCAATTGGCGACAACGGAAGCAACCCCCTTTTGCTTAGAGGTAGGTGCGCTCCTCGGGCGTGAGTTTCTTGAGGCGGGAGGGGGGGGGAGATGAGGGTGGTCGGGAGCTGCAATCTTTGCGCTCCATTCTCATGAACTGGACGACATCGAGTTCCTCGAAAGTGAGGGATGAAGAGTCGAGTGAATCGAAAGATGCGTCGGGATCAGATGTGGTGAACTTGTCTGAGGAAGTGATGGAAGTGGTGTCTTCGGGGGTGATGTGGTGGAAAAAGCGGGTGCGGGAGGTGGCGGGGGGGGCCTGGTGGTGGGGGTGGAGGAGTCGATGGTGGTGGAGCATGCGAGAGAGGAGGTCAGCAAGGGGCATGTCGGGTTCGTGGGCGAGGGCGGTTGCAAGGTCTTTGTGGCATACTCGTTTGATGCGGCAGATGAACGCACAGTCGGGAATGACGGTGTGGGGGAGGTGGTGTCGGAGGGAGCGAACGTATTGGACGAAGCGGTCCGTGGGACCGGTCTGGCGGAGGTGGCAGAATTGTTCAAGGTAGTCGTCAATGGTTTTCTGGGGGCGGAAGGTGGCAGTGAGGAGGGTGGCCCATTGGAGGAAGGTGTGGCGTGGTCCTCCGAAGGCTCG